CGCAGATCTTCCCGGTCCTCTCGCCTCGCCTCGCCTTCGCCTTTGCCTTCGCCTCCTCTTTGTACCATCGCATCCCCCTCCTCTCGACCGTTGGGCCGTTCTGTTCCATCCTTTTCTCATACACACCGGCTAGTTCTACTTCGCACACACACACACACTCTTCTGGATTATTCCTCCCGGCACGGAAATGCCCTGGTTTCATGCCGCAATGTGTCCCACCTTTACCGACTGTCAACCTCACAATTGACCCATCTTACACACTCCCATCCATCCGTCATTCAGCTCCTTGCCTCGACTCAGACTCACCTAGACTCAGCTTGCTGCAAACCGACTGCACTACTCTGCACTCTGCATACGCACAACTACCGCATTGCGCTGCACCTGCTCTTGAGCCCTACCGCTGGACTGGAGCTACAGCAGCCCGGTCTCCACTGAACCCTTCTTTTCCCGCCCGCAGCTGTGAGTGTGCTGCATCCCAAGCTTTCCCCAAGTGGAAGCCAAAAAATAAAATCGAGCCGGAAGCTCTGCTGGTCTCCATCGACTGGAAGCTACACCCCAGCAAACCACCACCACCACCACCACCAGCATTACTACCACTACTACCGTCAGCAGCCAGCAGCTCAACCTGCCTGCCGCGAGGTCCCTGGCCGACTGGACCACATCCCCGACCAAGGGCCATCTCAATCAGAGTCAGGACAAGTGCTCTGCTGCGGTGTACGGGTACCAATCTAGTGCAGGGCTGGACAGTGCCTAACTGGAGTCCCGGATACCCAAAGTGCCATTCCCGGTGTGGGTAAACCAGGAACCACCTGCCATCTCCACCAGACCAGACCACACCAGGACCACACCAGGACCACACCAGGACCACACCAGGACCACACCAGGCCCTGACCTGACCGGGAACCTGAACCGACCCGGAAAGACTGGAGAAAGTTTGGAGAGATTGGAGAAGACCAGCAGGACAGCAGAAAAAAACACTGGAGAAAAGCTGGAGACTGGTCTGAGGTCCTGACCCTTTTTCTGGCTTTTGGCTTTTTGCCTGTGGCCTGTTGTTGCTGCTGCTGCTGCCGTTGTTGCTGTTGTTGCTACCGGCTGCTGGAAGCTCGGCCAAGCAACACACGTCCCGCCGCCGCCAGTCGCCCTTGACCTCCTCCCGCAGCGCAGCATCATGCTGCGTCGCTGTTGAGGTTCCGTCACCTCACGCGCCATGACCTCCATCGTCAACGGAGCTCCCCCCGCCCCCAAGCAGATTCGTTTCGTCCACAACCAAGGCCAGCCGCCCTCAAAGAGACGAAGGATCAACGCCGCGTGAGTCATGTCGAGCCCTCTCCCGTTCCCTTTTCCCCCTTCAAGCGCCTCTGCCGCTGCTTGGAGCTGTGCAGTCCGTCTTGCGCTGCCAAGGCGTCACCAGAGCTATAGCTTCCCCCTCTGCGCATTCTAGCTAACTCCCGCTTCCCAGATGCTTGACCTGTCGCAAGCGAAAGACGAGGTGCGCCGGCGAGCGCCCCGTCTGCTCGACCTGCACCAAGAACGGCCACACGTGCTTGGGCTACAATGAAGTGATTGAGAAGAAGACAGCCGGTGGCGCCATCGCCACCAAGGATCCCCACCAAGACGACGACGACGACGAAGACCAAGACGACCACCACCACCGCGACGATGAGGAACATGTCGAAGAGAAGCACAATTGGAAGATGCCGGACAGTGGCCGACGTCCTTCGGTGACGCACAAGCCCGCCGGCGATGCTGCCTCGCGGACGAGCTCAGAAGCGGCGACGGGGCAATCGCCTACCTTTGTCAGGCGATCGTCGGAGAACAGCACACGAGAGCATGACCGCCGACGGCCATCCAACCCGCGAACCACCTCCTTTTCCGACGATGCTCGAAGCACACAAAGCCGGTCGCCCACGTTGCACCACACCGAACGTCATCGAGTCCCATACTTTCGCTATTTCGGCCCGACGGCCATCGTCCCTGGCTACAAGCAGATGGTGGTCTCTGTCCGGGATCGGAGGAGAAGCACGGGAGGCTCTGCCACATCCCCCAGCTCCGGGTCCAGTATGGTCCAGTCGCTGGGGATGGCCATGTCTGGAATGGCGCAGCACGACGAAGAGGTCGCTATTGACGAGGAACTGCCGTTCTACGACCCCAACGATGTTGCGCCAGTCCACCCCCTGATTTTGCACTTGGTCAAGGTCTTCTTCCTCCATCTGGGTTGCAACTACCCCTTCTTGAAGGAGGATAGGTTCACGCAAATGGTCAAGGAGAAGCGCGTAGAGCCTATACTTGTCGACGCGGTATGCGCCCTGGCCGCCCGCTTTTCCGATTCGCCGCAGCTTGCTCATGGCAAGGATGAGGAAGCATCACATGCTGAGCAGGGCCAGTACTACGCTCAGAGGGCCAAAGCTGCCACGGTCGACACCTTTCCTTGCCCCTCAGTCGGCGCCGTTCAGGCCTTGCTGATGATGGCATATGAAGGCTTCGGCGCCGACCAGGACAGTGCTTTGTGGATGTACCTAGGTCTGGCTATCCGCATGGCCGTCGACCTCGGCCTACAAAAGAGAGTCGGGGTGCAATATCAAGGGGAGAAAGACCCTTGGTACACCCGGCAATGGGGCAGCGATGTGGGAGACGACGAAGAAGTTCAACCCGAGGACAACGGCCTCACCCATGAGGAGCAAGCCGAGGTCGAACAAGAGCGCACCGACACGTTCTGGGCCGTCTTTATCCTTGACCGACTCATTTCTTCTGGAACCGGCCGACCAGTGACCTTTCGTGACGATGACTTTGAGCTGGCTTTGCCTGTCCCGACTCTTGACCCTACATCAGGCTGGCCGGCCCCCTTGCCAATCGTTATTCAAATCGTCCACCTGTACGGCCGCGCGTCTGACGTCCTTAACACCCTCCGCAACTCCAGAGACCTGACCCAAGAAAAGTGGACAAACCTTTCAAAGATAGAGCACGAGTTGACCAGGCTTTACCAAAAGCAGGATCCCAGACTGCACTTCAGCGTTGCCAACTTCAAGACCTACCTAAAGGCCGGCCAGGGGACGAACTTTATCCTTCTCCATTTCTGGTTCCATGCGCTCATCATCATTCTCCATCAGCCTACCCTTTTGAGCCCATTTGGCTCACTGAACCGCAACCACCAGCTCCTCCCCAACAGCCGTGAACTGTCCATGTCCAGTGCAAAGACGATCGCCGACATACTGGCGTTTGCAGAGCTCATCGACCCCAAGAGCTTCGTCGGGAATCCCTTCACATCGCAACCCATGTACATTGCTGCATGTGCCTTTCTCATGGAGTCCATTGCCAATGCGTCGAATCCCACCTCGCGAGAAACGTCTCCGCCACCTGACACGAAGACGGAGGGCCACAGGCCGAGGGCTGAGCAGAAGCCAACGACGAAGCACTCTCTGCTTGCATCCGCGGCTAACCAGAACTACTCGCGCTGCTACAAATCGCTGCAGCAGCTGCACAAATACTGGGGCGGCATCAAGTACATCCTGACAGCACTCGACCAAAAGTCCAAGGGCATCTGGGACTGCGAGACGTATACCAACGAGGAGTACGAGAGCACCAAGATTCCACGGCGCGGATCCCTCAGCGGCCGCTTCCCGACCTCTCCGAATATGCCACCGATTGCGTGGTCATTGACAGGCACAACAAACTCACCCCCTAGCCTTACGCTCATGTACCAGAACATGCAGGGCGCGTCTAGTCACCAGACCTTTACGCAATCCCATTCCAACATGCCAAACTCTGCTCCCACGCCGCCTGGGAACATGATCTACGACCCTATCCGCCAAAGTCTCCCTGAACCTCCACCACACTCCATCTTTGCAACGGTGCTGCCGCATGCCGCGACATCGGCCATGCGACACACCTCACGACCCAATAGATCACAACGCCTGTCGAACTCTTCAATGGGCAGCCCACATAGACCGCATATACGTTTCGACAACATGGGCAGAGACATGCCATCGTCACCAGCAACAGCCGGCATGCTCGCAGCGACTTCAGCGCCGCAGCAGACCTCATACACGCCCACGTCGCAGAATTCGTCGAATTACGAGCAGAACGTGATACCCTCCGTCTCGCCGGGCGGCATGCAGCACGATGGCATGCCTTCGCAGCACCATCACATGTCGCAGCAGGCCATGTACGATTCGGCGTTCCCCAACGGGACGTATTCGTACTTTGGGCAGGACATGAGGCCCATCACGGAGATCGTCACGTTTGACCAGCCGATTGACATTGGGTCGCTGGGCTTGCCGGACGAGATGATGCCGCAGTCGTGGCTGGAGTACCTACCGGGCGATGTTTTGAGCAGCTTCTTTGAGAATAACGACGTGGACCCGGGAAGCTGAGGTGGATTTGTAACCGGATATATACCAAACTTTTATACGGGGCTTTAACATAGTATCGTGTCGCATAGTTCCAGGACATTTATGATACCATTATTCTGGATTTTGTACGGAAGGGGGAGCACGGTGTTTGGACGGATGAGGAAGGTGTTTGGTTGGATGGGGAAAAGGGTAGCTAGTGTGTGTTTTAACTATTTACGGCTTCTTCATGATATTGTTTATGATTAACAGCGCATGATGCATGTTGTGAAGCTCAGAGGGTCTACACGATTGGAGTGCACATGAGGAGTCTTTATACTACTTGTTCTCCTCAATTTCTAGAGGATACTAGTCACAAGTGTGCATGCGCTCACGTACCGCACGCTGTACTATAAGTTCGACACGTTCACCGTCACCCCATGCCGCCAGAGCACCCTGCGTTTGTCTCAAGATATAGCTCTGCTGACTTGCCAATTCGATGTAAGGGTCGTTAGAATTCATACGATACACATACTCAAGAGAGTTATGCTCTCAGATGATCTCTAGTAACCGCGCTTCTCTCTAGGTTGCACTTATGATAGGTAGCAAGCTCGTGTTTCAATCGTTGTTAAAATGCTACTATCAAACGCCGCCCTCTACCCATCAATGCACTCGTCAAGAGAACGATATCGATTTTGACAACTTCGTGGGAGCATCTGCCGGATAAACCAAACCGTGGAGAGATCCAAAAATCTTCTCGTCGTTGGATTGTTCCGGGGGATATCGTGATTTCCACTCATGCTTAGCTTTGGCGGAATGAAGGACGCATAACTCCAGCGTCGGTTTGGTCTTGTTTCCCAATGATACCCATCCTTGAGAGCAACATGATGCCGCTGATCGAGAAACACAGCAGAGTATGTCGTCAAGAACCCCGAAACATCGGCGTTTCCCCTGGCAGCGGTAGTCGTCTGACACACCATCGGCGAGTTTTATGCCGTGTTGTGACAGCACCACTATGATGTCCCAGTCGCCTGAAATGATTCTCTGTTCAAACTCCTCGTATACTCTCCACATATTTTCTTCCGCGACTCCAGGGACAGCAATGGAAATGGCTTCGTATCTGAACTCAGGTGAGAGAGACCAGTCGTCACTAATCTCCCGTAACAGTTTGTAATCAATCCGACAACACTCCTTCTCCCCTGCCAATGAGAGCGTTGTTTCTTGTAAATAATATTCAACCGCATTCATGTTGCGGTTTTCAATGGCCACCTGTAGTTTGTGTCGCCAGTAATCGGTTTTGTATCTGCGTCCTCCCACACAACTCTTGTGTAAGTCGAGGACCCAGCGTGCGTATTCGGATGATGATGGCCAGCCTGTCTCGAGAATAATGTCGATGATATCTCTACCATCTAGGGCTCGGGCTTCGTGGATGCACGGGGTCTTCGAAATGATCGACTTTTCAATAGCGTCTGACGTTTCTTTTGTAGGCCCGAGGACAACTATTTTCGCGAACAGGGGCAACCAGGGCTGGATGCCTCTGAAGTAATCCGACCCAGAAAGAATATTGGCCATATGCATGTGCATGGGTTTCTTTGCGCAATTGTCGCCGCAAGGAGAGGTCTCGATATCCTGTATAACTGGACACAAATCCATAGGGCCATCGCAAGCAACGAATTCAGTGACGAGACTAATGAGACCGTCGTGACAGTTCTCCTCTTTGATGTATCCTTCGCGCTCTCGGGGAAACTGGAAGACCCTTCTATCTGGAAGAAGAAACACTAGTATGTGCTGGCTCAGCTTCTGATTGCGGTCTTTGATGGTCCTGAGGATGAAAGTAAGTAGTACCCTATGGGCGATAAAATCGGCGAAGACAAACGCCTTGTGAAGCGCCTCCACCTCAGGATGAAGCAACTTTCTCCGTTCGTCGGTTTGCCAGAGATTTTCCACCCAGGCTTTCTTGTTTGCCTCAAACGACTCGAAACCTGGCGGTTGCCGCCCAAAGTTGACAAAAAACTTGTCATCTTCTAGTATCGATCTGTTCACCTGATTTACCCACAAGTGCCAGGTTTTGGTTGTAGGCTGGTGGAAATGGAAGGAGTGATGCAGCCAAAACTTTGTAGCGTAGATAAGGAAGGGATAGTGTTCGAAAAGTTCTGAGTAGTCCTGGCCGTCCGCTGCAGCTGATTCTGTTGGGTTTGAAACGCCCTGGGGAAGATTGCAGCCATCCCTGGACTCCTTTGGTCTGAGAAACCGTCGCAAAAATCGAGCGGCTGTGTGCCCCGGCAGAGCGTCTAAGGCTGCTTGATTTCCCACTGCGGCTAGGATTCTTCGGCCTTCATCCGACTTAGCGATTTGTTGTAGTTGAAGGTTGTTGGTATTCCGAGAGACCTTGATCATCGCCTTCTCGAAGTCGCTGAAGTTGAGATAAGTCAAGCAAATTTCTCCCACTTCATGATCCCAAGCCTTCATGTCAATATGAAATGCACCCAACTCTGGTACTGTGTCATTCAGCTCCATTTCCAGTAAGTGCGTCTTGATCGAGTGGTGGAAAAACCGGACTGTCTCGTCCCCCGCTTCAATATGAATAAGGTTCTCGCACCAACTCGGCAGTCTCTCTGTCCCGTTTATGATCTGGTCCTTGGTAGACGCCTTCTGGAGAATCTTCACCCCCAAAGCTTCTCCCAGCTGCCAGCGGGTCAGGGGCCGTCGAACGGTTGCCACCCATTTGAAGGTTCGTTGAACAAGATCAACTATTGAAGTCGATTGGGATGAAGCAATCCGCTTAAGAGCCCGATTGAAAGTGTCCGATAGCGATCTTGGCAGGACTTCGAGGGCTTGTCGAATGTCATGATCGGTGGGGCAGCAACAAATGTCCTCTATTGTGAGGAAAACCCACAAGAACCTGCCACAGGTTAATAAAAATCCCGGTGAAATAGGTCTCGAGAAGACTCGAACTCACATGCCCTCGCCGCCAGTCTGTAGTTGATGCACGATTTGATCCATGATGCTCTCGTCTCCGAGAACTAGCTGACCTCTGTCTCGCTTTTGAGTTAGTATCTCTGCAGCATACCGTGCCAGGTCAGCATTAGTATCGGCAAGGCCTGTTCGCAGGTGCTTGGTGGGTGCCAAGGCTCGATCCACTTCTTTTGCCGTACTCTCTCTGCCTGAGACTAGAATCTTGACACGCCCGTGACCATTAGACATCTGCATAAGCCGAGAAAAGGTTTGAAGCAAAGTGTGCTGTTCTTGCGGCGAGCATTGGTCAAGGCCATCGATGACCAGAAAGCTGTCTTCGAGTAGGGAGATGTTGAGCAGTGACAGCAGAGAGTTTCGCTCAAAACCTGTAGATTCCGACCTTTCTAGCATTCCCTTCAAGCTGTCCTGCACCTCACGGCCAGTCAGCGATTGGCATATTAAGGATCGCAGGATCATGTCAGCCAACCGGCTGTTTTCGTCATCGAATCGAATGAAAAGATATGAAACAGAGGAAGATGGCGACGATTTCTGCAAGAGATGACTGATAACGTTGGCCCTAATATAGTAAGTCAGACTTGGCCCATATCCCCAGGGCGATGTTTCAGTGGCACACTTACGCAAGTAGTGTTTTACCAGAACCGACTAAGAGAATGAATTTCAGCAAAGGTTCATACAGACAGCGGTCGAGGGTGACCAACTTTTCCCTGAGATATTGAGAACACAAGAATCAACACTTTCGTACCAGTCCTGAAATTCGCTCGTGCTGAAAATCCACTCTGCGGTTCCTCGATGAAGTTTGTCCCGGGCATGATTGAACGCAGATTCGTGGTCATATGAGGAGAGCTTCAATAACAGCGAATTCCATTTTTGTTCTGAAGCAATTATGTCAGTAATGTCAGATGCAAGTACAAACTCAGCATGTGCTTGCCTTTCTCTTGACGCTGGATCCTGCGGCTATCATCTTGAGCTTTGGCAAGGGCTGCTTGGCCCTTGACGAGCTTCGCCCTCTTGCGAATCTCAGCAATGCTCGGACCAATTTCTGACTCGAAGGATCTTGTGATGGCAGCCAATGCTTGCTGTGGCCCTAAGAAAAGTCTTAGTACAGCTGATACCGAGCCGGGGGGGAGGGGGGTGTCGATTGCTCACATGTGCGTCGTGTTGATGATATGACTTGAGTACAGCAAGAAATAATAGCGGTATGAAAATCATAGATCGAGTTTCTTAGGGAAAGAGAGTCCGGAAACAAGATCTGGTACTCCTTGAACTGAGGAGTCAATGCGTCAAACCCATCCAGGAGATCCGAGAACGTCTGGAAGAACGAAGTGAAGTTCGCGAGCACCTGCTGGGTCAGCTACTTCGGAAGTATTAGTCTACCAGGAAGAGAACAAACAGTAAATGCGAGTCTCACGGACCCCCAGACTAGAGCAGCGATTTCTGGATTTGATGACACGTAGGTGTCCACAACCTGAGAGAACTGCTGTACTGTCTGTAAAATCGAATGCAGCCTGGTGGCGATGCTTTTCCCCCTGCGATTTGGATCCACAAGGTCGAGCCCGGCAGTAAAAGCGATGACTTGGCTAGGGTCGCGAGAAACGTTCATCTCCACCTTCAATTTTTTACGCTCGTCAGCGGTCAGAACATCGCGGAAGGCATTCAGGGCGTTTTCCAGCCTTGTCGGTCTATCGGAGCGAGCCGACAGGGCATTTGACAGAGGCGCAAGGCTAAGCTCGCCTTCGTTCCGAGGTGACTGCGTGCGATTGCTTGTAGCCATCCTGAAGGCAGCGAGTGTTACGCACCAAATGGCTTCGTGATGAATTTGAACTGGTCAAGGAAAAGATGTCCTCAGGGCATGAGCGCTACTGCGCAGGAGCCGTAGCATTATGTGAATCATGTCTGGCTGGCGACCCTACACGGCGTTCAATGCTTCAATTGGCTTGTGCGAGTTAAGCATTCTATTTCAGCATGTTAGCGCTTACAAGGCCCAGATCCATCGCCAGTGGCCAGGATAAAAGGCCCATGCAGCCACCCAGGCGTTTCTTACAGTGACGCCTCTGGACCCTTCAGCCCTTGCCCCTGGTGGTTACAGCCACTTGCTACGCATGCAGACGGAGAGTTTTCTTGCCACAAAAGCTAGTGATACATTATCTTCTTGACCCTACCTTACTTTAGACATGCTGAGGCTCTCGCCGCTCTCGCTTTGACTTTATTCTGTGATTGTTTTGAAGTCTGTATTAGTTTTATCAAAAGAGGAGATGACCTGCATCTTTTTGAATACGCTCGAAGGTCGAGCATACCAAACTCCAGGCGGCTGCTGGCGCAGAGCTTGGGAAGGCATGCCGGAGCATCTAAAAGCCGAGAATTGGTGTTAGTCAAGCACGCCTTGTGGCTTCTGACAAAAGGAACAACTGTGGTAGCACTCCTTTTTCAAAATAAAATGAAGTAAAAAACCTCGAGGACTACACTGAAGAACGGCTTTAAACGTGGTCAGTATCTCAACACTGGAGGACGTATGTTGGAGGAACAAATGGGTTAATTAGTCTGACGAGATGGCAAACAAACAATGATTCCGTTGCTCCGATGCCAAGGACGATTTCGAAATGCCTTGATCAACTCGAATGAAGTCCGTCTCGGAGCCGGAACAATGTCATCCGTTCGCCATAGCCACTGTCAAGGTTCCTCGTCGAAGAGAAGCACCCGATGGCGAATTTGAGTCATGATGGAAGGCAGGCCTGACGCAATTGCCGAGTTGCCCTCTGTTGCGAAAGACGGCAACTTTGTTTCAGGGACGTAAGATATTGCAAGTCAAGTCCTTCAACTTTGCAACGAATGGCCAGCGACTTCCGGATGAATGATTGAGTTGAACAACAGCAACTTGGCATATGCTGAGGATTAGGTAATTATCAAAAAGTGAATTGGTTTTAGGACTCTAAAGGTGCCCATCCCATGTCCCGGTGACGACACTGAAGGACAAACACATGGGCGAATGGAGCCCGCTAAGTGGACAGTGGGTCCCGTCGATAGAGGTTTTGTGTGTGAAAAACTTGGACCTTGACTGGGACTGCGCGGAAAGCCCGCGCGGGTGAACCTTGGCCGACCAATAATCAGCCACGCAGAGATTTTTCCGAGAGGCCGAACGCCCAGAGCTCCCCCTGTATTTTCTTAGCAGAGGCCAGCCTTGGGGGAAGACAGCACAGAGCAGCCAACCAGAGGATGGCTCGTGCGCCGCTGGCCCTTGCGCAATCGCAATCGCGGGTACCCGAGTAATCCCGAGCCAATCTTTTCCGCTCCAAAGGACAAGTTCCCAGTTTGGCGGGCGGTTGTTCCAGCCGCGGCGCCGCTACCTCTAAAAAAAGGCCTCACAAAAATTTCCCCGTTCCTCCCAGACAACAACACAAAAGTTCTTCTCTTTCCCACCCCTCCAAAAAAAACCACTTCACGATCCCGTTGCGCGGCACTTCGTGATCTCTTCTCCCCACTCAATCCTTTTGTCCATTTCTCTTTGGTCCAATCCCTCAGCACACATTCACAATGGCTTCCGCTAAGGTTGACGCTGTCGTCGAGAAGGCCAAGGCCAACGCCCCCGGCCAGCTTTCCGGCGTTGCCCTCTACTCCAGATTCGCCCTTGCCGGCGCTGTCTGCTGCTCCGTCACCCACGGTGCCCTCACCCCCGTTGATGTGTAGGTTCAATCCTTATTCCCAGCCCGCCCTATCGAATCCCATCCGGCGGTCTGCGAGGTTTCACAAGGCAATCCGACGCACGAAAAATTCGCACGCAATTGCCGAGGAAGCTCCGCCGGCACCGCGCCAATGAATATGGACATGGACAACCACGGCTCTATGCCAATTGGCACGCAGAGGCTGACATCTCGAACAGCGTCAAGACCAGAATCCAGCTTGACCCCGCCACCTACAACCGCGGTCTGATCGGTGGCTTCCGCCAGGTCATCCAGCAGGAGGGTGCCGGCGCCCTGCTTACCGGTGTCGGCCCGACCTTCGCTGGTTACTTCCTCCAGGGTGCTCTGAAGTTCGGTGGATACGAGTTCTTCAAGCAGCAGTCCATCAACCTCATCGGCTACGAGAATGCCTCCAACTACCGCACCGGTGTTTACCTGGCTTCCTCCGCCGCCGCCGAGTTCTTCGCTGATATCGCCCTCTGCCCCCTCGAGGCCACCCGTATCCGTCTCGTCTCTGAGCCCACCTATGCTTCCGGTCTCGTCTCCGGCTTCAGCAAGATGCTCTCCAACGAGGGTGTCGGTGCCTTCTACGCCGGATTCGGCCCCATTCTGTTCAAGCAGTAAGTTCTTCCTTCCCGTGTCCGAGCAGCCAGAGTCGAGCTCCGACTATGCTATATATAGTGTAGGCGACAGAAGAGCTGACATGTGAACCCCGCAGGATCCCTTACACTATGTCCAAGTTCGTCGTCTACGAGAAGGTCGCCGAGGCCATCTACAGCGCGTACCCCAAGAAGGACATGTCCGACGGCGCCCAGACCTTTGTCAACCTTGGCTCTGGTCTGATTGCCGGTTTCGCCGCCGCCATCGTCTCCCAGCCCGCCGACACCATGCTCTCCAAGATCAACAAGACCAAGGGTGAGCCCGGTGAGGGCACCACCTCCCGTCTCATCAAGATCGGAAAGGAGCTCGGTATCCGCGGCTCCTACGCCGGTATCGGTGCCCGTCTTTTCATGGTCGGTACCCTCACTGCCTTCCAGTTCGGTATCTACGGTGACCTGAAGAAGGCCCTCGGCGCCACCGGCGGTGTCGAGATCTCTGCTGCCAAATAAATTGGTCGAGCTCGATAACGTGGGGGGAAGACTGGGGTCGGGTTGTGTGTCGGGGAAGAGTAGAGAAAGAGAGAAAGAAGGGCGCTGGTTTTCTGGATGAGGACTAATGATTGTTTCCTCCTCCCCATGACCCCTGGGAAAAGTTTGGGTTTTTTCTTTTGTCCAGGGCCACGGTAATGGCGGGAAAGACGATGCAACATGATATCCTCGGCCCGAACACACCACCAGCACACAACATCATCAACTCGCGCAATAGACTCCTTGGGGGCCGGTCCGAAGCGCGCAACATCGGACTGGCCCGCAAAACCTCTTGTTTTATCCGTTAACAAGAACTCCTTTGGGTGGGAAATGGGAAATCTTTTCAAAACACACCGACACCAATTGCCTATCATAGAAAGCATAGAGCATGATACACGAAAAGATGGGCTGAGGCCCCGCCAGAGGGTTGTATAATAGTCGCTTTGTAGCTTGCAATCATAGACCGGGAGTTTGGACCTCTCACGATGTGTTCGTATTGCAGTGACGTATGTTTCCCGGGCCGGAGCCATGAAAGTCTAGACCAGTACGAATTCATCAACGTCTTGCAAAAAACACGGCACTATCGAATGGCCTACGGATATGAGGGGTCCGCGATTGACTTCGCCGTCAAAGCGGCCCGGCAACGGCTTATGCAGCATGGACCTTTCTTCCCTTCTAACTTTTCTTCCGCAGTTTGCCGCCTGGAGGCGCACCTTGTTGACTGCCGTATGACTCTCACGGGGAATAATCGAGGGCCAGGATGGCTCACAGAGAAACCTCTATGGCCACCTATGGGGGTATATGAAGAGAGCGCGAATCGCCAGGGGGCAGGCATCTCCCTCTTCACGCTGCCACAACCCATTACACCAAAATGCCGAAGCAATACTACATTCACTACCTCTGTGACCGCTACCTCAAGAGCGGTGACAGCCTCACCCAGCTCATCAGAGAAAAAGAGGATGATGTCTGCAAGTTTCGAAGCAAACGCCTTTTTCCTCAGAACCGCAACAAATTTGAAGAAGCATTATTCTTCTGTCGCCTACTGGCATACGTCATCCTCCGCCGATACGGCCGTAATGATCCATCTCTTCTCAAAATATTCAACGAGTTCGAAGACATCGCCAAAGCATTCGAAAACAACGAGATAACCGACGACCAGTATCGCGAAGTAAACCGGTTGAACCATCCAAAGCAAGAGAGCCTGTTGGCGGAACTCAAGGCAGCACTGTAGCTCGATGGAGCAGTAGTTGATGAGGGTGGTTAGACATGTAGGGGGTGGTTGGAGTAAGGGGGACCTCTCATGTATCCCTGGTCATACAAAAATTCACAAAAGAATTCTTCACAAAATGATGCAGCATGGACGTTGAAGGGCCCCTCCATATTCCTTATCGGACGAGGAGCGGTCACCGACATTTGACCCCCTGGAGACAGCGTCCGGGCGAGCAGACGGCGGGAGCCCGGGATGACGTCAAACGACGCCAGTGCGAGGCATCGTCGAGGGTCGACACGAAGTGTCAAGACCCTGAGAATAGCAGGAAAAATCGTTTCACGGAGAAGACTTGAGAAAGTTTTTTATTCAAAGAACATTTTAATCATACTTTTTACGAAGAAAAAACCCAAAAGGAAGACTGGGGTCGTCTGCATGCCTGCAAGTCGTCGTGGTCATTTTTCATTACCCCAGAAGTTGCCCAATTGGGCGCCAACCAGAAACAAACGTGGTTGGTTGGGCGGGGACGCTTGCAGCCCCACCGGCCGCTTCACCCGGGCAACGCGGTGTAAACAAAAGAGCTCCGACCAGCCACTCCCGCAGCTGCCAATGCTGCAGGAACTCCAATCCAACCGTTTCCTGTGCAGTTAGCCCACCTGGCAGAGACGAGAGAAGAGCTTGACCAACCACCGCGGGACAGCGCAGCACATATATGCAACCCCCGAAGGATTAAGTCAACAAAGGACACACACACCACACACCACCTACGCACCAGACTCATATCACTCACTCGCATATACACTACCTCCACATACGCATACCATTGCCCAGAGACAGGCAAGCTCCTTGTTCTGTTTCTCTTCTCTGGCATTTTGTGATATTCTCAGAGCTGGCTACGAACGATTTACGAAAAAAAACCCTGAAGATCCTCTCCAATTAGCGAGACAGGACACCGGTTGCTCCCTCGACCCCACGCTGCCCGTCCCGAGCCGACATAAACAGACAAGACTCTTGACCGCTCTTCACACTCGCACAAAACAAGAGACACGCACCCCCCACGACTGCGTTCTTCCCGGCAACCCTTGAGGGAACGCAGAAAGCCCGCTTTTAATCTTTCCGCATTTCTCGCTCCTCGTGTGTCGTGCAGCATCTAGCATAGCAGTTAGATGCCACGACCCGGGCCAAAACCCGAAGATTTGGAGTTTGAGATCCATGTTGATCCGTCCTGCTTGAGCGAAGATCCGATGGCCGCCGACGACGAGGTCCCCACCAAGGTCGAGGAGGAGAAGAAGGCTGACGAGGTCAAGACGGAAGATACCGAGGTGAAGGAGGATACAGCAGCTCCTGAGGCTACGAAGGAGGCTGAAGAGAAGGAGGAGGGGGCTGCTGAGGCTGCTACGGAGAAGCCGTCAGGAGCTCCTGTCGAGGAGCCCAAGACAGAGACCGTCGAGGCAGAGACAGAAGCAGAGCCTGCTGCTGAGGATACGCCTGCCTCCACTGACGATACGACAACGGGAGAGGACAAGCCTGAGGCTGAGGAGAGTGTCGAGGCCACTGCGCAAGACGAGCCCGAGCAACCAGACGCCAAATCGGAGGAAGATCTCGCGGAAGAAGTTGCCGCGGAGCTAGCGGCTTCGGAGGAGGCCCAACCGGAGGAGTCTGAGCCCACGCCTGAGCCTCAAGTCGAGGAGGAGAAGCCCGCCCAAGAAGAACCCGAAGCCGAGCCGGTAGCAGCGGCTGAAGCTGAGAAGGCGGCTACCCCTGAGCCTGAAATCACGGCCGACGAACTCGCAAAGGAAGTGGAGGAGGAATTGGCGGCTGCGGCGGCTGAACCCACCCCCGCTGTCGTTGTCGAAGAGGTCGAGGACGATAACACGGAGCCTGCTGCAGTACGCGAAGCAAGCCGCTCTTCGTCGTCGATGCGCCGTGCTTCCGGCCAGACTGAAGCTCTAATTCAAGCCGCCGCTAAGGAGGTTCTCGAAAGACTCGAGGCACAGACCATGGAGACCATTCGCAACCGGTCACACTCTCCCCGAGATTCCATGGGCTCGACAAATAACGGCACCGAGATCCACTACGACACAAGATCCGACACCACCCGCGGTGAATCTCACGACAGAAGGTCAGACGTCACCCACCGCGACTCTTGGGCTTCCCGTTCTCAGGCAAGCTATCATGATAGCCCCCGTGAAAGCCGCCGTGAATCCCGCCAGAGCCGGCGGGGCAGACACAGCCGACGCGACAGCGACGTCCGGCCTGCGCCCATGCACGTCGAGGACGGCGGCGATAGCTCCTCCCAGCACGGTGGTGACTCTGATGTGTTCAGTGATCGCAGCGCCCGCAGCTCTATGGGTTCCTTCGACGGTGGCCACATGGATCACCACCACAAGGACATGGAATGGCGCTCGTCGAAGCGGTCTTCGGCCATGTCCGATATCTCCATGTCTGACATCTCCCACTACGACCGCGAGGAGTTTGTGCCCACCATCCGCGGCTCTCAGAGGATGCCTTTCCGCACGCCTTCTGATGTGAAGGCCATGCAGTACTCCTCACCAGCCCCCTCCATCGTCGGATCACCCCGCTCGGCGAAGCGTGGGCAGCTGCCGACTATTTCTCGGCTTGGAAGCCCGACGGTGTCCGCTCAGTATTCTCCCAAGGGCCGCACGACGCCGACACGCCTCAAGGTCAAGAAGGAGCCTGCTCCCCTTGTCTTGCTGCATGTGACTCTTCTACCTCTTCGCTGGCAATGGGCTGAGATCCTCGAAAACACACCTTCTGATAACCTCACGGCAGAGGCCAAGAACCTGCGCGAGGCCTGGCACCACCTCCACGACCGTGTCGCGGAGACCGTCTGCGAGCGCGGTATCCTCCTGTCCCATCCCCAGGATGACTATGAAATCCTCGAGGAGAGACTGCTGGAAGCCCTCGACCTCCCTCTGCGCCGCAGGGCACGTGTCCTCGAATGCGGCCATTACATCGGACCCTCCAACGAGTCAACCATGACCGAGGAGATCGACAGCGACGAAGAGGAGTACGATGAGGAGATCCGGAGGCGGAACGCCCTGGCCAAGACCCACTGGTGCCCTACCTGCCGCCACGACATCCGCTACGAGTCCCTCGGCCCCGGCAAGATCTTCCGCATCAAGGTGTACGCCAGCAACGGCCTTATGAGGACCGGCGCCTGGGCTGCTTGCTGGAAGGAGATGGAGCGCGTCGACGTCGAGATCGAGCCCATCGTGACGTCCGGCGTCCTCGACGAGCTCGAGCGTCTGGTTATTGCCCAGTCTCAGCAGATGGTCAAGCATGAGAACCCCACCATTATCGAGTCGACCGAGACCGACCACGACGACATGTCCGCGTTTGAGCACGACATGGACGACCACCACCTCGACCGCAGCATGCCTGCACTGGAAGAGCCGCCTCAGGAGCCCTCAATTATTGGGGAGTCAAACATGATTGAGCCCAATTACGAGGATGAGTCGCATATCCCTGCGTCGTCGCCTGCCCCGGCCATGGAAGAGCACCGGTCGCCTTCTCCTGAGCCGATGCACCGCCACCATGAGAGTGAAGAGCGCCGTCTTCGTGACGAGGCTCGCATGCGTGAAATCTACGGAGACAGCGCTCCCCCATCCGCTGAGCCAGAGCACGAGCCCGTTCCCGAGCCGGAGCCGCAAGCCGAGGAGTACAACCAGAAGGACTACACCCAGACGCCGCCGCCTCAGCAGTCCCGCGAACAGCCCCATGAGCACTACCACCAAGAGCAGGAACACCGCCACCAGCAGTCACCGCCGCCTCCGTCCAGCCACGGCTTCGACCAGCAACAGGGCCAGCCACGCACCTTCCAGAACGCCGGCTTCGGCGAGCTGCTCCTTGAGGCTGCGCGCGTGTTCATGCAGGACAAGAAGAACCTCGCCATTGTGGTTATGGGATTGTTGATGCTGTTCATGGTGGTCAAGCCGGCGCCGCGGGAGGTCAAGGAGTGGGATGGCAAGTTTGTGGAGCAGATTCGGGCCGAGGTCCGTATGGATGAAGGGTCGAAGGCTGCTGTTGAGCCGGCTGTAATGGAGACGGTCCAGTCCGTGGTTGAGTCGGTTACTGAGTCGATTGTTTCTGCCGAGACGCCTGTTGACATTGTCGTGGAGCCTAGTCAGGCTGTTACTGAGGTTGACGAGAAAGCCGAGGCCGCTGAGCCTAGCCAGGATATGCCCGTTTCCGAGCCAACTGCTACGGTCGAGGAGGATGCCTTTGGGACCTCTTCTGCGTCTTCTGACGAGCCCTCTCCTTCTGTGGTTGAGGGTTTAGAGGAGTCTGAGCAGGAGGTCGAGGAGGGTGCTGAGGAAGCGACTCCCTCGCCTGAGCCTACTCCTTCCCCGCTTGACGAGTCTGAAAGCCAGTCCCACGTCGCCGTTCACCAGACGATCACGACCAGGGAGGTTGTCCGCATCATGGAGACTGTCACCGAGACTGTCAAGGCGTTCGTCACCGAGACGGAGGTCATCCAGTCCGAGCCCACGGCCAGTGTTGCGCCTGAGGCTGAGATCGAAGAGCAAGAAGAGGGGCAGGTTGAGGACGAGGAGGACCCTGTTGAGGGCGCCGCTGCGGAGGAGACTGTCGTCGAGGATGAGATGTCTGCCCAGCCTACTGAGACCGAAGAGGAGCAGGCCGCTGAGACTGTTGCACCTACCGAAGAGCTTGTTGACGAGGCAGTGGTCGAGGAAGAGCCTGCTTCTGAGGAGGCCGAGCAGAAGGTTGAGCAGGAACAGGAGTCTGAGACGGCGGAGCACGATGAGCTCTGATTTCATACTCTCATGGGCAACGATGAGAATGACGAAGGGAAAGTGGTACATGTGAATGAACAGAAAAGGGATCAATAACTACTGTAAGAGATACGAAGGATGGCTTTTACGAGGAACAGACGTCCCAGCAAACACGTTTTTCGAGGGAGACTTTTCTGTTGTCTTTTTTTGATGATGCAGCACCATAGCGCAGCACAGCACAGCACAGCGAACCTGCGAAAAGAAGACTTGCTTTTTTAATGTTGTTTTGGTTTTATTGTTGGAAATGTAGATAGATGGTCATGTGTTACAGATGAGCTGGCCTTTGGGCTGGTTGACGATGAATTGAATGTTTTTAATACTACATGTACAAAGTAAGCCCCAGCACAGGAAAGCCAAGCAGTCTGGCGCCTTCTCCGATGTAAAACATTGTATGCTGACGTCCAGAATTTGCATCGCTGCCACAAACAAATTAGTAGTCTACGAAAAAGCCACAGTGGGCTGTGTCGTGTTACTCGCCGTCGTTTTATTAAGCTTTGTCGGCAACTAATTCTACAGGAGGGAGATGGTTAGGTTCTGGCCTGCTCGTCTCTGGCGCGATCTAGCTCCACGCATCAGCCGCAGGTCAGCAATTAGCAAGTGAGAGCTGAAGCTGAGCACCTCAGCCTGTCTTGGCAGCACTTTAGGGGCATCATTCTGGGTGTTGACCAGCAGTTTCATCTTTTCCTGATATGCGCCTCCCATGGCTTTTGAAAAAGAAATCCGACAGCCGTGTTTTGTGTATAAAATAGCATTGCTACCCCCTTGGAGACTTTTCTTCACTTTAGTCATGTTTTCCACCCGCTGCAAAGATGACGCAGAACCACATCAGACATAGTCACGATGAGCGACTACTCACCCCGACATCGCACACACCAGTGAAGCCAACTCACGGGACCATGTTGGCATCGACTCCGGCATCTCATCCTGTGAAAAGCAGGTACTGGACGCGGTCACTCGTTTTGTTAACCGTATCGCCTATTACGGCGGCGTACTATTGTTGGATATGGCAATCCCTACTCAACGTAACCTCGATGGCGCCGTCAAATATGGGTACCCGTCAGAGATTTGGATATACTCCTCTTGGTTCATCGTTGGTGTCTTTTGCTTGGAGTTATCCAGATACGGCCTGGTTGGCGTCGAGGTTGCGATGCTTGAGACCAACTTCTTCCGACCTCCGCATCTACTTGCCCTCCTGAGCCACAGCGAGAGTACTTGGAGTGGGCCAGGCGGGTGGTTACGATGCTTCAAACGTTTTCTTGTCAGAGGCGATGGTGGCAACGGCCGTCCGGGATTGGGCAACGCTCTGAAGAGCCTCCTTCGCAGTGCTTTGACGCCAAAGGGGTGGCTGGAAGGAGCCCAACGTCTGGCTGTGTCCGTGAACACTTACAGGTTGTGGTACTTGCTGTCTTTTCTCAGTCTTTGCCTATACGTCGGGCTCCCCCTCTCTGGTCTAACGATGGAGTTATTTGATGGATACGTCCAGGTCGGTAACTCTGTGCCAATGGTCGTTGGGAGGAATTCGAGCAACTTCCACGAGAGATACTTCATCATCGCTCCGGACAGCATCAAAAACGCGTGGAAAAAGGGGGCGCCCACCATCTTGCCTGGAATCGGTGTTCTGTATACCCCGGAAACGCTGGACCGGAGCAAGCAAGAGAGCGTCGGAAAAGTCCCAAACACCTTTCCCCTAGACGACGGCGTAGAGGAGATGTTTTTGGTCCCCCAGGCTAAGGAGGTCGTCTCGGGATCGGCCTGGGGTATGAGAGCCCGGTACAACTGCTCCGTAGTTGACGACGTGGCCAAGTTCACCATTCTCGGGAACGGCTCAGCCATCCACTGCTCAGAACCCATAGGCGTGCCTTGCACCGAAGCGTACCTTTCCACCGGTTTTGAATACACTCTCAGCAACGTTTGGGCGTATTTCGAAGTAGGGGTTAGCATGCCGTTTAACAACAACACTATCGGCCACCCGACTTTCGAGGATCAAGACTACAGCTCATTCAACTCCCCAGACAAGGCTCAGGAGGATGTGCTCGAGTTTGCTTTCTGGCAGGCACGCAGACCAGCACAATACGGCGAACCTGACAGCTTTGTCAACGAAACCCTTCCGTCCGTTCGGGGAATGCCGTCGCCTTTCAAGAGGGCAAGCAACCAGTCGTGGGTAGTGGACGAAGACTTTCTCCAGAGAACGTATCTTGCAAACTTGCGGACCAACTTGTCAGAAATAATGCAGGGCAACAACATGCTTTATGCGGCAGATCCGATCGGCGTGCGTTGCCGCTCTCGCTCAATGCTAGGCACAGCCAAACTGAATGCTGCGTCAATGGCGTTTGAGGATTTCGCAGTCTCGGACCCGACGCCGTGGAACGAAACGGACTCTATGGCAGAAGAGCCGGTCAGACGTCTGGGGTATTACGCACAGAGCACCGTACGAAATGCTGCCGTGGACGTCATCTTCATGTCTACCAACGCTCGGTCCGGAGAATCGCGTGAAAACACGATTCGGTATAACCGGTTTGTCAGCCCGGACGAGCTCAAGAGGTCGCTTCTGCTAGCATACGGGCTCGAGTCCCTCGAGCTGATGTACGACGGAAAGTATGGATTTGAGGGAAGCTGGGAGGAACCCAGCATGGAGGCGGCGGCAGAGGGCAAGGTTCTCTGGGGAGGAGAGCTCACGCCTTGGATCTCCGTTGTTACCATAGGCCTTTGGGCTTTTGGCTCGTTGGTGCTTTCTGTGGTTTACGGTTTCAGGAAGAGATCCTCGGACTCGCTCAACGGCTTCAGCTTCTTTCGTTTTGGTGTGTACTCTGCGGATTCGTTGCGGGATTGCTCGAGGCTTCACCAGGCAAAGGAGCCAGATGAACTGGAGGAACTGGAGAGGATGTCGGGAACGCTCCAAGCTATGCAGCGAATCCCTCAAGAGATGAAGTCAGACCCGCAGGTCACAGTAAGATGGGAATTGTAATGGGGGTGAAGGTCGCTGTTAAATCGGGAAGATGATCGTTCAAACTTTGCCTGTAACTACATGGCAGTGTTGAATTTGTTCTGGCTCATTTGACTACCTTATCAAGTGAGGCATTCCATGCTCCATTGTTAGAAACAAAATGTCTACTGCAGGCTGCTTTGCGTAAATTGTTGATCATCAACGTTTTAAGTGAGCCAATTTGTTGTCTAGGCCGGGCCTGCTCCCTCTCTGACTCCGAAACAATCTTCCATCTTGAGTATGTCACTATGATCTGGTGACCCAAGCAGCACTGGATCTGCTCCTCTCACTAAAATACCTTTTTCATTTGATCATCGGTCGCTTGTGTAATCCAACTCGGCCTGCGAACCCATTCTTGAGCGAGCAGGGCCTCCGTATACTTGATTCAGCATTTCAAAACCTCCTAGACGTCCTGTCTAGGCGGCGAGGACGCAACTACTTTGTCTTGAAGTCTCCCATCTGTAGAAGCATGCGGGTGCCCTTTGCTATTCGTACGTGTAACACATGAGACCACCAGACGTGCTCAAGTAGTCGCTGACCTTTCCATCCTTGATCAGACCGCCCATTGAAAGTACATCGATAGAATGAGAGCCCATGGTATGAGGATGCTTCAAAAAGTTTTCCGAAGGTCCAAAGTACTCTTTTGATCGATTCTCAAAGTCGCGGTTCTGCCATAACCACCACAACCGATCGACCTGGGCGTGGTGCAGAAAGAACAACGGGTCTTTGGAAAATACGTCAGCTGATTGCAATTTTCCTTGAGTATTGCCGGCAAGAAGCCGATTGATCAAACCGATAGACACATACCATTGGTCGCTGTGAAGTTGAGCCACTCGCCCCTGATGAACATTGGAATAGCGTTGTGGGCGCCAGCCTCGAACTTTTTGAAGAAAGAATTGTAATCGGCTGCTTTCAAAGTCTCGTTGACATACTCGGGCGATATACGATCGTAGATCTTGCGATACAAAACCTCGTCCTCTCCATCTCCCAAGGAATAGCGATCTCTGAACCACCGAGATAGGCAATGCGGCTCCTTTTTGGCAACGTCCTTTTCAGGAAAGTGTCTCCATGCATATCGTCTACCTGCAAATGGCCCCTGCTCAACGCAGTGATCTCCCTCAGAACCGCCATTCAGTCCAAATCCAAGCTCAGAATCCCATACAGGAGACTGGCTTAGGTCTTTTGAGTCCAACACCCAATTCCAGTAAGGCTGAACACCTTCATATTTGCACTTCTGGCGCAGCGTTTGCTCATAGGTATGCACGAACATTCTATGCCACGGTAAGAAGGCGGCTGCATAGTGCGAAGAACCACCTGCCGTAATGTGGGCGTATGTGAAGTCGTCAAAATGCGATGTTTGGCTGTCAAAAATGGATGGTAGGTCCATAAGACACTTCACCGCCGAGATGTAAGATTTCTTCTCGGCAGCGCTGAGAGTCCTCCACTCTCGGCGGACATATGGCGTTACGCAACGAGTTCCGGAACGCCCAAAAAGCTCGAAGCCCATCCAACAACTCAGTGCGATGAAAAGAGACAGGAAGGTCAGCGTCAAGAGAGACTTGATGAAGACCTTGTCAAGCAGCGTTTCGCGCAAGCTCCACCGGGTGTTTCGTCTACACTCAGTCAGCCAGATATTCACAGCACTAGACGCACCGCAGAACGTGAACGAAGTTCATCTTTGAGATCTGACCTCATGGAATGAAGCGATTTGGCCTCTTCATTGTCGCCTTCTTGCACCTGCTGTGGCACCGGGTGATACCACGGTCCAGCGATCTGCAATTGATCGCGAATGTGTCGCAACTTCGATAACACCATTGCTGCTGATGAGAAAGAAATACAGTTAGAAAATGGAATATGGCTCTCTCTCGTGATACGAAAGACACAGAGAAAAAGGCTTCAGATCGAACTTGCGAGCTAAGCTATTTGGTGCTCACCCTTCTATCCGAGCGAGAGGTGATTTCGATGCCGTTTGCCTAATGCAATAATCCTCGTCTGTACGGATACTTCGGTCACCTGTGCCAAGAAAGTCCGCATCTCTGCATCTATCATACCTTCCTCTTGAGTTTCTAATACCACGTTGAATTGTCAATTTGACTGATTTACCGGTCAGAGACAATGCCCGTGACCTCCGAAACCGAGACCGACGCTGCGGAGATTGACACTAGCCATCTGCAAAGGGTTGTATTTCCATTGTCGTCAATCACCATGGTTTGGTTGTGAATCTGTGATGTACAGCTTCTTGAATGTGACTTTGATCGGCATTACCAGAATTTCCTCCGATGCTCGTTTGTGAAGCTATCTGCTGACTTATAAGGCTCTCTCATTTCTTCTCTGTTTTGTTTCACCTAAGCTTCTGCAACCATCCACGATTACAGTTACTTAAGTTTCCATCTCGTCCAAAATGGCGCCCGTTAGCCCTAAAGCCCTTTGCCTTGGCCTGTTGTTGGCCGTTCCGATCTTCGCAATTCCGGGTGAGTTCTTCTACTCCTAGTCATTACGAGACAACCTCTGAGAATCACCCTCGGCTGATCATATGACGGGTGATAGTCCAGCAGAGTGACTTGGTAGTCGCAGAAGCTGCGAAGTCCAAGCGGCTTCTGGGATACACCTATCAAGCCCTGGATGGCGACGCTACTGAGAAAGATGCTGCGGCCAACGACAAGATCAAGCGGCTTCTAGGATACACTTATCAAGCTCTGGATGGAGAAAATACCCAGACTGATGAGGCAACCAAAGAAAAGGCCAAGCGACTTCTGGGGTACACCTACCAGGCTCTTGATGGAGAAGAGTCTCAGGCGGATGCAGCAACTAAAGAGAACATTAAGCGTCTTTTAGGGTACACCTACCAGGCTCTTGATGGCGAAGACACTGAGAAAGATGCCGCAACCAAGGACAAGGCTAAACGGCTTCTGGGATATACTTACCAGGCGCTGGATGGTGACGCAAACGAGGTCGACTCGGCGAAGAAGGTCGAGACCGACTGAGACGCGTGAGGAACACAGTTGAATATGCATCAGTGATAAAACACTCGGAAGTGCTCGCCGACAAGAAGATGGTAAATGTTAGCCAGCCTAGACAAGAATCGATAGCCTTTACCTATCCAATCTGCCCCACGACCGCCAGTCTTTGAAATTTTAACGTGCTTGGTAACTGGATTGTGTTGGTACAAGCTTGATTGACTTACGCGACGCCAGTATTTCTTGAAACAGTGTAAACAAGCGAGGAGGTAGGCAAGGCATACGTTGGTTAAGTCGAGTTTGTATTTTGTGGCGGGAGTTTCAGTCACTATTGCATTCTGAATGGGTTAGTCCTTGCCACCTATTGCGAGTCACTTATCTTGTGTGAGTGCTGTCCGAAGAGTGATGGAGTCGGGCGATTCACAGGTATCCTAGGTCGGAGGATGAATTCCGCCAGCAGTAAAACATCTGCCATTACGCTAGGAAGTGAAAGACGGATGAGTCGGAAAAAACAGGAGGGGGAAGCAGTCTAAGAAGATAAAGTTACTTAGGTTCGCTTTCGGTTTTACGGGGGTTTAAAACTGCATAAACCCGTTCAGTCTATCCTTGATTAGCTCTCAGACCCGTTATTTAAGCACAAGACTTGCAACTTGGCAGCATCTCAGTTCCACAATTATCAGTCATCTTCTGCGGGTAGCTCCTGCGGGGTTGCACCTCACAAAGCCAAGTATTCGATAAGGAAAGCGAGAATTATCGATATGAGGCACAAATGTTTGACGTAGATAGTTGCGCCTCTCACAAGAGACGAGAAGTTGTGCACGATAACAGCTACGATGTCTACATGTGAATCACACCCCCGCATGATCAGCCAATGAGACTAAGTGCTGCCGGGCGGTTGATCAAATCTTGGAACTCTCCTTTCCGAGGCAAACTGACGAATCTTCTCAAAGTCCCGACACGTATGCTGCGTCATGAAGTCAGGCTCCGGGAGTGTGCTTGGGTCGTTCGGATCCGGAATAACATGATCATTGCCAGGCCTGATGTTGCCCGTCAAGGGCGTCACATCCGCCCTGCACATGATGGACAACCTGAAAGATTCTATGCAGTGATCTAACCCGACGTGAGCTTCTGAGGAAGACCGAATCGCAAGTTGTGGTTTCTTAAGGCTTACCTATGTGCTCCCGGTAGTAAACATGCCTCCATGCAGCATCATCCTCGTGACCAGGAGGGGCGAGTTCGTAATGATCAGGCCAAGTGTACTTTCGAAAGATGTTCTATGTTTATCGTGTGATGTCAATCGAGAGTTCAGACCAGAATGAAAAGGATTGTATTTCTTACCAAACAGTGAAGTTGATGGAAAACCTCGAATATGTATTTGACACCGTTTGGGTCCTGGTCGTAACTGTAGCCCCAGGCTGTGTCCATAACTTCAGACTTGTTGATCCGACGAAGGTCTTCTCGGTCCATTCGCATCAAGTATAAGTCCTGGTCGGAAATCAGATCCCAAGCGTCGTCTAGCTCTTTGCTTGGAGGCCCACGGTAGGGAGACGGCGCTCTGAAGTCGGAGGGAAACATGGTCCGGTAGTAGTTGACGGCTTCTAAGCCAGGTGCTAGCGGGCTGTTCAGCAAACATTGCCTTGGTTCTCATCATATGCAGTTGAAGCACACAAATCAGGAGAAATTACACTTACACCATGGAGAGAGGCGCTTTCCACAGTCCTCCAAACTCATGGAAGCTCGCCCAACAAAGAAGGCCGCAACTCCAACCAATAGAAAAGACAAAAGCGTTAACACAAGTATTCCTCGGCGCTGAAACGCTTCCGCCAAGTGGCGAAAAGTCGATTGTGATTCTATAGGCATACGGCCGCCGAGCAAGCCTGCATTTTCCTCGAGAGATCCAGCATCTGACGTGAGTGGTGTGCAATCAGAATCTTTACGCTTTTCCATCGTTTCGAAAATGTCGCAAGCTGCACACACAAAAATGATCGAGAGAGGCTGTTGGGTGTAGGAAGGAATGAAGAACAGTTTAACCAAATGACAGGATGATAGATTCGTCCCAGCTACACAAAAATGAAAGGCGCAACTGTTTCTGCATCTCCATCTGGAGCAAACCGACCGGAAAGTTCAAGAGTCCGTGTTTCCAGTAGAGAACCACCCGACCGACCCGGAACTCCGCAGTGTCCCCATCGCCGTTGTAACATGGCGCCTTAAAAAACAAAATAAATTAACCTGCATATGCTTGATCGTAACTCGTAACTATGCAAATTCCGGATAAGTGAATAATACTGATAGATTAAGCACTGGGAATTCGACGCGCTATCCCTAGACTTTTCTATGTCGAGTGTCAAGCCATTTGTTTTCCCGGCGTTGTGAAGGTCATACCTCCGGGCTTTGAACGTGCTTGAATGCTTCCTTCAGCAGCGTCAAGGCCATCAACGCAAATGGAGGACGACCTCAGTGATGGGATGCCCGCGCATGGCCGAAATTCGTCGGAGATGCCCTTGCTTCTGTCCCCCAAGGGTACGACAGCTGCCGCGCACAAGCCCAAGTCGCCCAAACGCTTATGTCAGATCGGCCGACTTGAAGTTATCATGGTGCTGCTTATCTTCGTCATCATTCTTCAATCTGTCTTCATGTGGAGAGGGTCCTACTGCTTTAGCGGACTGACGGGAGCATCGGGTCGCCCATGCAGCAACAGAGCCAATTTGCCCGTTCCAGAGTGTAAGAGAAAATCAATCCGACTTTTCGCACCACCAAAAACTCCGCATGACTGACAGCCCGGTCGATGAATCGCATAGTTCGCACATATTCCCAAGAATTTTATAATACTACGTCGGAATACGGAATTTGGAGAGTGCCTTGGACGGAAGACGAATGGATGCGATGGTACAAGAACTGGGAAGCGCTCTACCCTCCGGGGCGAGGCATGGTAAAAGTCGTGAACCCTGGACAATACGCGGGCATCCCGCCGCCGATGGACGATTTCGAAGGCAAAGACCCTCCTGCGGATGATGGCTACCGTTATGAGCTCGCAATAACCCATCAGCTACATTGCCTGGTACTTCTTCCCCTGGCCACTGATGTATTTGATGTAACACAATACTAATGATTGGATGTTTCAGTGGGTTATGCAACGTTATTTTTACGAAATTCAAGCAGGCCTTCGGCGCGGCGATCACTGGTCTACCTTTTTCCATATCAATCATTGTACCGACTACCTTCGCTGGAGCCTGCTGTGCAAGGCGGATACAACGCTCGAGGGGTGGGATGAAGAACAGCTCAATAATCCCAACCCCCATCCTCGCCATCGTGGACCTTCGGGACTGCATGCTCCGCATCAATGCACCGACTACAAACAGGTTTATAGTTGGATGGAGGAAAACAGATGGTACAACTTGAAGAGCATGGACAATGACATTCCAGAAAACTCCACCTATCAAGACTGGATAACGATTTGGGAGAGAACCCGCGAATGGATGGGAACCGGGGCTTAGAGCCAGTATGAGACTGTCAGTGTATGATATCAAAGCAGAGTATCTGGAGGTATGAAGAGACGCGTTGGGATAATCGGTATTTAAGCAACGAATCGATTCTTCCGTAGGTAGTTGTTCCCGCGTTAGTTCCCCTGATCGCGTGTCGTCGTCTGCGTAAACCGACGGGTAAAATGGATCCCAGTACCTATGTAGCAAGTGAAATAAACGCTTCAACCAATTGCGCACCTGGAGCTGGGCTTAGTGACAAAGAACGCAGATAAAGATGTCAAATAAAGCAAGTTGCAAATTGGCAGTCAATTTCCTTGCTAGTATCAAATGCCTCCCATGAATAGCACATTGAAGTTTGAAAAATGACTAATTATTTAGCGAGAGAGGACAATCTTGCGCAGTGTTGATTATGTTATTGGACCTTTCCTGTTCGTCCCTGATTTGTCCAACCTGAACTTAGAGGGTTCTAAACGACATTCGCCTGAGACAGATAAATAACGGGCTTGTTTTCTGTTGTAAGAAGGCAAGAGCAAAGGGAAGGTAAGCTCTTTCCTTTTGGGGGCAAAACCGAACCACACATTCACCATGGAATGAAAGAATCCGATTTTAGGGTTGGGTAAAAAGTGCGTCCGATCTTAAAACACTAGTTTTCTTTTCGTTCTCCCTTCTGATGTTTTCCTACTTCCTCACAAAAGGCACCTTCACCTTCATCTCAAAGGTTGTCTGTGAACAACCCGACCCAATCTCCTTCCTCTGAACTTTCTCCTCTGAACTTCCTCCTCCTCACCTGAAGTTTCCCTTACCTTCGCCAGAGAGCTTGCCCATCACCAAACCAGCCCTCCAACCTTCCCGGCCACAATGGCTTCCGACGGAGGCCGCGTCGATGTTGCAGAGCCTTACCAGGCTTACAAAACTGCCACGAATTACGTTTTGCAGTGGCTGTGGATTGAGTACAGACTTCGGGCGCCGGAGGCAGCCAAGACGAACAAGTTCAAATCCACCAAGGACATCTTGCGCGCGGCCAAAATTCTTGCAGCCACCGCTGCTTCAGTCCCCTCCACTGTCATTCACTCTCTTCACAATGCCATCAACAAGCGGCAAGAGGTTCTTAAAATCTACCAGAACCTGGGCTCCGACGACGCCGCTCATGAAGCCTTTCTTCACAGGTGAACATATTACTCTTGCCGAACCTTCCTATTATCTACGCACTGACAAGCGGATAGACTGAAGGAAACACTGAATGTACTTGAACCCCTTGTGCCGAAACCATCGACACCACGTGCAGGTACTCTTGAGCTTGACAGCTCGGTGGCAACGAACCGTTTCTCAGCTCTCGGCATCCAAGAACCTACCGAATCATCCCCAATCAACACTTTCCTGCCGGAGACACAAAAGAAGCACTCAGAGACGCCTGAGGATAAATCTGCTACCTCAGCCTCTGAGTACGGGGATATTATCTTGGAGGACGATTCGATCATGATCAGATACAAAGCCATGTGTGAAGCAATCGCCTTTATCCGCGTAAGCACCAGAGACCCATGCTTTTTCACACCTCAGAAGAAGAGACTGACATGGTGAGAAGGATCTCTACAAGTTGCGACTTCGATTGGATAAATATTGGACAGACGTGGCTGAAGGAAAAATGACGTTCACACTCGCTTCGTGGCTTACGAGTGCGGCTGTTAGCCACATTCAGTCCTTTGCACCATCAACGTGGCCTTCTTCCATGAAATATCTCATCGATAACACAGAGTTGGCATCGGAAATCTATTCGAAAACCAAGATGATGGAGGAAGTCACCGCATCGACAATTGTTTCAGAAATCCACTACCTCAGCCATTTGATGGTCCTCGTTTGGAACCAAGGAGATCACGCTCCGAAGCTCCCCTCTCCAACCATATATCTCGACGAATTGTCAGGAGCGCAAGTGGACATTTCGACTTTCACCACGTTGAAAGAACATTTGACTGGACCAAAGAACGTAAAGCCGTGGAGTACTATGGAGACGTACGCACTCGTCATTCCGGAGATACTAGACAACATCGACCGGGCCCTTTGTGGGAAACGCTCAATCGAGACATTTGAGAAAGGATTCCAATACAATCTCTCTGCTGCAGAGTTGGAATTGCATCAGAAGCTTGCCAACGGACAGATAAGCATGCAAGCATTGTGGACCAGGATTCCGGAAATGAACCCGGAACACGTCATGACACCCAAAAACCAGGAACTTGTGAGGAACTCAATGATCAGACACAGCACCTGTGAGCCACTCATCATCCCCGCTCTTCAACTTATCCGGAACGGAGAATTGGTCAACGCCAGCACTCTATATGCTGGCATCCAGATTCTTGTATCATCCTCAAAGGCATTCTTCTGGCCGCGAGGCGCGAAGCAAAAGGAGTGGAACTGCGGGCTTCGTCCACTGCGACTCGCAATGGATATGAAGAAGAAGCTGGTCCCTGTCACACAAGTCATCAAGCGTTTTGTTGATCACAGAACGGCAGTGCCGGACCAGCTCAAGCAGGCAGAAGATCTTCATCGTGCGCTCATTGAGTACACCAAGGGAATGCGCTGGGACCTTTACCACCAGGCCCCATGGACCGCAGGTTGTCATCTGAACGAGCTGCTCGTTGGTGCTACGATATTTGGCCAAACGCTGTATGACGGCTACCCTGTCATTCCAGCGGTACTGCATCTCTACAACGTTCTATGCATGTCTGACGTTGAGCTCACCAAGATCAAAGTTCTTGAAGGGCTCTGCGAGTTCTTCAAAAACTCCGCCTTCAATGGAAAACGTCCAAAAGCCAATTTTCTGACCCACTCCCGATGCTCTCTCTACTATGACTGGAAAAAGCCTGTGCAATTCGCCGACCAGCTAATTCGACGCCCATATCTTCACGAGCCAATGTACCTCACTCAACACCTCTCTGACCACATACTCAACTACGAGACTGTGGCAAGATTGCATAACATCAACGCAAAGCGGCCTTTCAATGATGCGGAGGAGGCAAAGTTACTTTCGCTGTGCAAAGGTATGACTTTTGAATCATACCTAGAAAAAGCCGAAAGGATGGTGAAGAAGGACTTCGATCAATGCAATCCAGTGGCCAATATCGACTTTCTCCATATTTTCAATATGTGCAGTAAAGTTCTCGATACCTTCGGAACAAATCTCTTTGAGAGCTTTAAAGAGAGCACTGATCGGATAGCCAAGGAGGACGCTGTTGTTCTGGGCAGCAAAATGGTAGAAACCATCCTGGAGAGAGTCGATGAAAGTCGAAACAAGGGTAGATCAGTGAGGAAGAATTTGCGACACGAGCTTATTTTCAAAGAGGCCATCAGCGCACTCGACACGGTAGATAAAAACATGGTACTTCAGGACCTTTGTTGGAAGGTTTAGTAAGTTTGGCGACTTAAACGTCCAACTTGGATCGTTTGGAATTAAGAGTCATTTTCATGAAACTCATTGTGAAGAAAATGGGAATTGGTTGTACACTAGAGATTATTCAAGAGATCGTCTGTTCTTCCTGTACTTGAGAGGCTACTGTCCTGGGGCTTTAACTTACCGTCGTCGTTGTCGTCATCGTCGGCGACGACGACACTATCAATAAATTTACTTCCATTATAATCCTTTATAGGAGTACTTCAGTGCATTGCAAATGTAGCCGCGCAGATACCAGAAGTTGAGGCGGCCTCTCGTTCAATGCTCTGGAAATTGTGGTCAATTTCGGTGAGAGTCGGTCTGCTGAGTTAGTCGTATTGGTATGCGCGGTGAAGCCTCCACAAGGGACCCCAAGAGATCCGTGCGCTGCTTTCGAGATAAGATACTGCGATAAGGCGCCGATAAGCTGCCTCGACGCAAAAAAGTTCTTTTTGCTTGGACGGGCATTTCAGGTCCCCGCCAACCGCCCATCCATTTTACCCATCGCATCGCCGACTCGACTGCAGACAGCAACCATGGGAAAGCGCAAGGTCACCGCCCTCGAGAAGGTCGATGTCGACTTGTAAGTTCAACCACTATTACGACAGTTCACGCTGACTTCTCCAGCGCGAGCCTGCAGTACAAGATCCGTCGCGATCCCAGGTCCTACGAGGAAAACTTCCTCCAGCAATGGGGCCAGTACGAGAGTCAGCGCGAGGTTTTCCTGACCTCCCCAACGACCGCGACGAGAGAGTACACCGAGTCCTTCCATAACCTCGTCGACCTGATCGCCCACACCGCCGACCTCTACCCGAAGCACGCCGCCGCTTTCCCCGACGACCTGAAGGCGATCCTGCTCCAGCACCATGAAGTCCTGCACCCCGAGCTGCGCGAGAAGATCGTTGGCAGCCTGGCGCTCCTGCGCAAGAAGGAAGTCATCGACTCGACAAGCCTCCTCACGTCGCTGTTCCCCATTCTCGTCTCCTCGCCGAGCAAGACCCTGCGCACGCTCCTCTTCCAGAAGATCCTCTCCGAGATGCGCAATGCCAACTCCAAGGGCACGAACCACCCGCTCAACCGCACCATCCAGACCGTCCTCTACAACCTTATCACCGCCGACCGCACGTCACCCAAGGCCTTGTGGGCTGTCAAGTTGACAAGAGAGCTGTGGAAGCGCCAGATCTGGACCGATGCGAAGACTGTGGACGTGATGAAGGAGGCGTGTCTGTCAGACAACGAGAAGGTCGTCGTTGGCGCCACAAGGTTCTTCCTGGGTGGTGACAAGGAGCGCGAGGAGATGGAGGACGAGGACAGCGACGAGGAGCAGATTGACTTGCAAAAGATGAAGCACCAGATCGGCATCAACAAGAAGTCCAAGAAGCAACAGAATGCATACAAGAAGGCTGTCTCCAAGCTCCACAAGCAGGAGCGCAGCAAGAGCAAGCCTCACCCGCTCAACTTCTCCGCCTTCCACCTCCTGCACGACCCTCAGGGCTTCGCCGAGAACGTCTTCCAGAAGCACCTGCAGAACACCAAGGTCAAGTTCTCGCAAGAGAACCGGATCCTTGTCCTGCAGCTGGTCACAAGATTGGTCGGTCTACACAAGCTGACCATCATCAGCTTGTACTCGTGGTTCATCAAGTTCCTCACCCCTCGCCAAGAATCTGTCACCTCATACCTCGCCTGCCTGGCTCAAGGCACACACAACCTGGTGCCTCCCGATGCCGTCGAGCCCCTCATCCAGAAGATCGCCAACGAGTTTGTGTCGGAAGCGTCTGCCTCCGAGGTTGCCGCTGCGGGTTTGAACGCTATCCGTGAAATCTGTGTCAGACAACCTCTGGCGATGAGCGACACGCTGCTTCAAGATCTTGTGCAGTACCGCAAGAGCAAAGACAAGGGTGTGATGATGGCTGCCAAGGGTCTTTTGTCTCTGTACAGAGAAGTAGGCGCGGAGCTGTTGATGAAGAAGGACAGAGGCAAGGACGCGACCATGGGCCTGAGGAGCGGCGAGATGAAGCAGAGGAAGTTTGGAGAGGAGGAAGTCGGAGGCATCGAGGGCATCGAGCTGTTGGCGAAGTGGAAGGAAGAGCAGCGCAAACTCAGACGCGAGGCGAAGGGTCTCCCGGCGGATGGCAGTGACAAGGACGACGAGGAGGATGACGGCTTCAACTCTGACGACTGGGAGGTCGACTCGGTTGACAGCGATGACTCTGGTGGCTGGATCGCCGTCGATCACTCTTCGGATGAGGAGGAGGAGCCGGTGCCGAAGAAGCGCAAGACGGGCGAGGAGGGCTCTGACGACGAGGACGAGGTTGATGAGGAGGACGATGCCGCCGAGATCGAGAGGATACAGAAGCTCGCGACTACCACTATCCTCACCCCTGCTGACCTGGCGAAGCTCCAGGAGCTCCGCCTGGAGGCCGGCCTCAACAAGACGTTGGGCAACCGCACGTCAAAGAGATCGAAGGAGATCGAGAAGGCCCTCGCGCGGCACCTGGATGACGGTCTTACGGCTGAGCAGATCGAGGCACCCGCGAAGCTGCGCAAGACGACAAAGGAGGAGAGAGTGGCCATGGCGAGGGAGGGCAAGCCGGACCGCGAGGAGCACAAGTCCACAAAGGCCATCCGCAAGTCGAAGAAGGACGCTGAGGGCAAGAGTACGACGAACAAGGAGAAGGCGCGCCAGAAGAACTTCTTGATGACGCTGAGCAAGGCGAAGCACAAGAACAAGCGCAGTTTGGTGCAGACGCGCAAGGTGCTTCAGGGACATATCACGAGGAGTAAGGCTGGTGGTAGACGGCGTAACGGCATGTAGACAGGCTGCTCGGGTTTGGGGTTTGTTCTTGTCTGTGGGAACAACGGCACATTTAATACAAAAGTTAGATCAGCGTACAAAACTCACATCGATCAAAGCGCATCTTGATATTGGGTGTTACATCTGCTGCTCAGATACGTCTCAAATACACTTACCGTTCGAATTGAATTTACCTGTAGCCGGAAGAATACCTTAAAATTGTCTCCGTTGACGGTGTCCATCCCAGCCTAGCCTGCGTTTCTCTCTCCGCCACCCTATTGTTCCCACGCGGTTGAAGGCTTCGTAGCAAATGCTACACATACCAGCCCCCGGTGCGCGGACGTAGTACTTGTTGCAGCCACATATCTGGCTCCCATGCTCAGGGCTTTCCGGGCTCTCGGGTGGTGTGGGGCTCCGAGGCGTCGGGCTTCTGGGCGGCCTAGAATCCCGCCGTTGACGTCTGGGAGGCGGTGACGGGCTTCTAGACGGCGAACTACGCCGTCTACGACGAGGAAGCAAAGCGTCGAAGATCGACCGCCGTCGGGGAGGCGGTGTCGGGCTTCTAGACGGCGAACGTCGACGTCGCGGAGGCGAAGCGTCATATATTGAGTGCCGCCGGGAAGGCGGCGATCGAGCCCGGCTCTGACGGCGAGTCTGGGTGTCTCTGTCTCTATCACAAGTCCCGCAAAGCCGGTTGGGCGAGGGACGACATCCCTGGCCGCAGTTGGCGCAGGCGATGGCCTCGTATCTGTCCTGGTCACGTCCTCCGCTATACAAGTCACTGTAAGCGCAGTTCCCGCAGTGTGTCTTACCTGGTTCTGCCCTGGCGCGATCGCAGATGGAGCAGATTCTCTGTTGCGGATAGAAGGTTATCGGCTCGTCCATGTTGACGCCGGGGACGTTGGGCCTGCCGTAGTGTGACTGACGGCGCTCCTCGCGGACAGAGGCCTGCTCGGCGGAGATGCACTGGTGGCAACGGCTGCGGCTGTAAGCTGCCCTATTTCGGTTACATTGTGAGCAGAAGGGACGGTTATCAGGTCTTGGTGGAAAGAGATTTCCTTCAAAGTGGATGCTCGGCGTGCTGAAGGCTGCGTCTGCGGCGATGCACTCCGGGCAGAAGGTGCAACCAGAGGATGGACGTGATCGTCCGCAGCGCGCACAAAGGGGTCCTGGGGTTCGCCGGCCATTGTTCGCCTGTTGGTGGGCTCGGGCAGCGATTTCGGCGTTGCGTATGTTTTGCCGGCGGCAGTTTTCGCAGATAGTCTCAATGGGTTGGCCGTTGGAACCCATACCGTAGAGGCCTAGGGGTGTCGTTCTACATTGAGGGCATATTCTGACGGGGACATACTGAGGGCGGTACATGATTGACTGTGATCTTGGACTTGGAGAGCTTTGGGAGAGATTGACGGCGAGATCGTGTAGTAAATGGCGAACCTGCGAGATGTTAGAGCTTACCTGAAGCTGAGAGCGCAATGCTGATATAATCGGATGATGTTGTGGATGTTTAGTAGATGAGCTTCTCCAAGGCAGACTGCAATGAGAGACTATATGTAGGCGATGCCTATCAGGTCGAATCATTTCTATCTACCCAGAACCCGTATAGAACAATCATGTTGTCCTCGAGAAGACATCAGACAACAAACGGCGCAAGAGCTCGCATTGTGTCGAGCGCCTTTGTTGTTTTGGCTGTTGAGCCTGGGCATCTACCTGGCTTTGAGCGCAGGAATTGAGCATGCAAAAGGACCCGGATTATCACTTTTGATATGATACTGTGGTTCTGTGAATAGAAATTGTCTCGGACTGTGATTGGACATTCCTTCGAACATTACCTACGAGCTTCAACATGGTACCGGCGGGGTTCGGCGATCCAAAATTCCTACGACCGCGGAAAGGATTTTGGGTTTCGAAGGATCAGTGAATCAACACTCATGAGCCGCGAAAGTCTCGATCCTCCTCATAGTGGGTCAAGGGTCCAGTCCCGGCCTCGATGCTATAATTGTTTGGGCCGTCCGCGAATTAAAAAGGCCTGCGTGCAAAATGTTCTTTCCTCCAAGTTCCATCGTCCACGCTTCGCGCAGACAGCGCCCTTTTTCTTTCAGCCAGACCGATATCAGAATCTCAAATGTTTCGCGAATTGCTGCGTCGTCTTTTCCGCAGGCGTAAGGCTTGCTATCAATCGGACAGCTCAATTTCATCCACAACGAATCTCATCCCCCCCGAGATCCCTCCGCTCGCAATGCCCACGATTCCGAACGATCTCATAGAGAAATGCCGAGACGATGCGGACTTGAACGAACTACAGCTCTACACGGGCTATTCACTGTCACACAACTCTAAACGCCGGGACAACATGAAAAGATGCATCTTATACCGACTTCCCCGTGATGTGCTTCTCATCATCATCAGCTGTTTAGACTTGGCCGACCTCGGTGTCTTGCGACAAACCTCCCCTCTGTTCCGGTCACTCATTTCGATTATCCCCACAGACGATTTGTGTTGGGAGAAAATGAGAAGAATGGTCACTAAACGCACAGAAAGAGATCGACATGAGTGCCAAAAATGTCGGATTCGGAGAGCAAAGTCCACCGACAAAGCGTGGGACGGTACGGAGTGCCTTCACGCGTACTGCCTCAAGTGCAAAGAACCGCATTACGGACCGTGTTTCTCAACCGGGGGTTTCAGACGACCGCGCAAGTGCATCGGGTGGGAGGGAAAGCTGAGACTGTGTCGCCATGTCTCAGTGTCATTGTTGAAGCCCTTGGCTGGGGCACCGGCGGACGTACGAAGGGATATTACCATCACTCAGTGCACAAGATGCATTGCAGAGCTGAAGTTGGAACCCGGCGAACAGCCTCCAAAGTTGTTTCGTCGGTTTGCGGGCCTGTTCTCAGGCAGAGGGGAATATTATCTGGAGACAGGGTTCAGAGTCAGAGTCTGCACCATTGAGAGAGGACACCTCGTCACCAAAGACCTGCTTCGAGAAAGCCTTCGAAGGTTTTCGGACATGGAAATCTTATGCCGCCACATCACATCCGACATGGAAGCTCTTCTGGAGCCTTTCCACCACGAAGACTGTGTGTGTTTCAGGCGACTGAGCGCATCATGCACGCCAGGCGATGATAATTCTTTTGATCCTGGATGTCGAAAAGAACAGAGCAAGACGAAGCAGTGTGCCATGGCCAAGGATGCAGCCGAGCACGTCGGCCGCTTCATGTCGGTCACTTCAGACTCCAAACGCCATGTCGCGCTCTGCAAAACATGCCTCAGCTGCTACATTTGGACCGCAGAAGGCCGTAATATTTACCTGTCAAGGCACACGCGGATTGCGCAATTTGAAGACTACCCAAGCGAGACTACTCGGACGGTCGCACAGTGCCGGGTAAAGAAGACATTTTTCAAGAATTCGATGTCACTCCTAATCCCTCATCTGGACCCGCTCACATATCGTGGAAACTCAACGAGCAGGTCGATGGGCTTTTGCAATGATAGGGGGTGTAAGAACTATGGAGTCAATAGGCGCACAAGATACTTCGCAGAGCCGTTCGGGGTTTTCTACAGCAAGGAACGCCTTCTTGATTACATCGCAAAATGCTAGAAGAGATCGAGAGATCGAACTTCTTAAGTCGTAATAAGAATGCAATTTGTTCAGCAGCCTGTGACTTAGAGCTTGTTGATAATGCAGACAAAGAGGGCTTTTTACCTTCAATCGTAGAAGAAGAGTGTTCCAAAAAAAACCTTCGAACACCATGGAAAAAGTACTACCAATGTCATCAGCAAATCTATTACCTACCAAGCGTGGTGGAAGTTGACGCTCGCTGGGTGCGTCCGTTCATGGTGTGTTGCGGGGCGGTGGTCGTCAAGCAGGGTTCTCAGCCCTAGTAGCCCAGATCGTCTAGTTGGTTAGGATGATACGTTGTGGTCTCCATCACTCAGCGATACCGTGTTGACGGCGGTTCGAATCCGCCTCTGGGCACAAAATCTTTTTCATTTTTGGTCTTCACGTAACCTAGTCTACTTATCTCTGACCTGCGCAACTTTCAACGGCACGATTTCACATGCGCTGTCGACGTTGAGACCGTTGCTCGCAGAAAACAGTGAGAAAATGCCAAGGTTTTCTATGTGGGGCGCCCGGGATGACGATCCCGGGCGGCGCCACAAGGGCCCTGGACCGGATCACGGCAAGCGCCCGATATGCCGGAACTTTAATGACAACGAACCTCATCTTATCGGTACTTTTGCTGTCGGCGAGCTCTCTCATACATGAGAACTACGATGATTCCAAATCCAAAGTCAGCGTGGCAAGTCCTGCTGCCCACCGGTACCTAGGCATCCATCAAATGGAAGCGCACGCCAACCTAGTCGCAGTTGGCACAATCGCGGCAGTAACGGTGCAAAGTTGACGAAATCTGCAGGTTTGGGACACCATTCTTCAATTCAGAGCTCTGCGTTCTGGGACCCAATCTGAGTCCTTCCATGATTTCCAATCCCCGCCATGATTGATCCAGATTGATCCAGATTGCATCATAGTCTTGGCCTGGTACCACCTTCCCAGCGCGGAAGACAGAAGCTAGTCGATGCTGTCGATGCAACCATACACAACGGGTAACGGCAAATGCAAGGAGCAATGCGGAGGAGACAGCTGTCAAAGTCCTTCGGCATGTGAAGAAGACCAAAAAGCCGGCGATCCGAGTAGCATCCAGATTCTCCAACCTTCCCAGCAAGCTGTAGTTTGGTTCAGCTTATCGTCCTGCTGCAAGTAAATCTGTAACAAAGTAATCCGCCGCCAAAGATGGCCCTTCTGTCAGCGTGATCCTCTGCAAGAGCAAACAGCTTCCTCTTCCGGGCGTACAGAAGTCCCTCGACGTCTCGCATCTCACTTTCGGCCTGACGGGGCCTTCTTTTTGCCACGACTGCTCTTCACGAGAGGCTTGTCGGCATTTGGGAAGAAGATGTCGTCGTCGTCAAATGTGTAGGCAGGCGGCGTGGGGGTCGTAGTCTGAGGCTGGACGCTGCGGTTCGGCGGGGTCGTCGGGATGCCGTGATGATCAACAGCGACGCCAGCTGCGTTAGGCGCAGACGCGGAGCGGGAAGGTGGCTTGTCGGACGGGCCGCCGAGGGCGTTTGAGATGCGACGCTTCTTGGGCACATGCATCTGGTCGGAGCCGCTCGTCGGAGGCGTGTGGGCTGGATCTTCACTGTCAGAACGGAGGACCAGGCCATGATGAGAAGGAGGCATTCGAAGAGGCCGCAGGAGGTCGATGAGGCTCAGCCGGAACGGGCAGGAACGCGACCGCGATGAGACGCGGGCGGCAGATGTGAGATGAAGTGGATGGATGGGCAGCTTCGGAGTGGTGTGCGGGCTGCAGAAGGGACTGGAGATCATACCGTGGGCGCGTGCGGCCATCAACTTTGCAGCCTCGGCGGCTTTGGCCTGGTGGTAGACCAGCTCGACTGCAGATTCGGATGTTAGCGATCTCCTGCCGCTGTGAGAAGGTGGGATCTTAGGGGGAGATCCCGATGTGAGTGGGGAGTGGTGGGGGATATGCGCGCGGGTGTCTCTGTGTGGGTGTGGGTGGATGGCGATGTCGTGGGGGAGCGCCGTTGCGTGTTTTGACGACGTACCTTGGTGCTGAACGGGAGGCGAGTAAGCGGAAGGTGCCACCGGTGGCATAATCGCGACAGGAGTGAAGGATCTTGCGGATGGATTCAGATTCGGCTGCTGCTGCAGAGACGGATTGGGTGGAGGAATGGCACCGCTGCCAGAGTTTGATGGGCGAGGTTTCATTTTGCCACGACGCCGTCGGCGATGGTCCATCTGTCAGATGGTTGGCGTAGCTATTGGACTGTGGTCGCAAGTCTACATTGATGCTTTTGGAGGTGGGAAAAATCAGCATATTGTCCTGGTGGAGAGGTCGCTGCCTGAATGAGGTTTGTTTTGATCAAAGCTCAGATCGCAGAAGCGTATTCGCAGTATTCCATTGTTCCGCAATTCGAGCAAAGCTGCTAGTCAAGACTGGAAGGAGCCAGTGTTATCTTTGAAGAATGAACAAAGGCGCTGACATTCACTCAGTTTCCAAAGCGGAAAATAGAAACTCTGAAAAGGTCAGCTTTCTGCATCGTCGACTTTTGATCATTTGAAGCCTTTGAAGTATTTTTAAGCTATCGAATTCGATGGGTTCTATTTCTGAGGAATCTAATTCCATGTAACATGCAAGCACTCGCGAAAGGTCCATTCTTGAGCAATTTGTTTCATATCATGGTAAGTCGTAGAAGAAAATAATTGAAGAGATACACACCTTTAGGCAAATATGTCAAGGGCATACCTTTCCCATGTTGTCAGATGTAAAATCTTGAATCATGAGCATCACTCAGAGTTTTGATTTATTACAGAAAATTTACTTATCACAATTGTGAGCTCATGGAGGAAATCAAGAAAAGTCATGATAAACGTTCTGCAGGCTGTTGAGAATTGTACTACTGTAGCTTTCCACGGCACATTGAAATTGCTCCCAAAAATCAAGTCCGGAATGTGGGAGTACCTTCCTTCACTCTTAAACTGGGCCTCATAGAACTAACAGGTTCTACACTAAGAAGACAGAAACTGTGAATAGAACCTACCGCAGCAAAGTCGACAGTCATCATCCTCAAGGACGCCATCAGAATCTCAAACTCCTTGCTGCAATGATGGGAATGTCTTGTTCTCTGTTATTTTGCCAAGACATTCTGCCAAGAAGGGAGATGGAATCACGGCAAGATGATCCTCTCCCGAACGGAGATATCATCGGTTTCCGCCACACCTCCTCAAAAGCCAGGTGATATCGTCTTGTCATGTCAATGCAGGAATGGAGACTGCAAAGATGCCTTGCATCCTTCAACACCTTAGTATTTCCTGCATGCGCGCGTGGACGCGGAAGTGGAAGTTGCTCCCAGCCACCTCTGTTGTTATTCCGACTTCGGTTGGCGGTCGCAGCAGACCAGGGGGTGGGATGAGAAAAGAAAAGCGACGTCACAAGGGGACCTTTTTGCGCAAGTTCGAAAATGACTCGGAACAAGAAAGCAAATCGTCTGTCGACGAGATCCGCAGAAAAACAAAAAAAAAAAAAAAAAAAAAAAAGAGAAGAAAAGAAAAACAAACAAAGCTGGCCGCGAAGTTGACCAAGTTACCTACCAAGAAGAAAGCTGCAGATGAGATGCAACTCTATTCGAGATGCAGTCCCAAGCGCAGCATTCCAGACCACACACATGCACCTTGCAGCTACCTTGACAACCCAGGAGGAACCTTGAGAGAAGACAGGAGCTGCGAGGAAACACAACCCGCAGCGAGGCCACCCCACACCAGCTCCGTGGGACCCCACCGCGGTCGGGACTCCGATGCAGAATGGACGGCGCAAACGGCTCGGAGGAGATGGCTCGTTGCGGCAACTGCGAGGTGATCGTCCGCATTGCGTACTTTTCGTCTGGATGCGACCCCTCTGGAGTCTGGAGATGTGGTGATGACTGGCGGAAAGAAGAAAAAACGTTGAAACGTCTTCGCGAAAACCGGTTAGAGGAGAATGAGAGCGCAGCCCGCGCGCCGCGCGCGCATATGTCGGTTACATGCCTAGATGCTGGCAAATGGTTTTTCTGGTTGTCCCTTCACTCTTTTTTGCTTCTTCTCTTTACATCAGCATATGTCATCTTCATCACCTTGGCAAAGATGCTGCCAAAATGCAAGCCGAGACGTTGGCTATTCCTTGCATGTGACGTTTGTCGAATTTAGGCGCGACAGATCCGCGTCTTTCGGTAGCAGGATGGTGTGCTTCCCTTTCCTCTTCTGTGCCGCGCCGGCAAGTCTGGTCTCTTGTCCTGGGCCTCTAGAAACGGCCGCCTTGTTGTCGTTGGGGAACTTCGCTTCGGCTGAGTGACGTGAGGTTGCAGCGGCAGCAAAGAAGTTCCGAACTGGGAATGGCCCTTCGACCCCGGGATGTTGTAGCGTAAACGGAATCGAGATGTCCGCGTCTAAATCGTTTCCCCCCACGGACGGTCGGCCCCATGGGTCACACCGACCGGGTCTGCGTCCGGTATCAGGAACGAAGAGTACTGCTGCTCTCACTCCCTCTCTCGAGGTAAACAAAAAAATTGCACAAGGGGAGCTTCCAAACAAGCTTGACCAGGCGCGGATCGCGGGGGCAGAAAATCACACCACTCGAGCCCACCCCATGCAGATTGATTAGATTGCGTTGCAGCCCCCCCATCTCGATCTGGACCTTCGGGGGTATCCTCCACATGGCGTAGGATTGGTGCCTTGGGTAGCTTCAGTAAGCTCTTCGTAAACGGCGAGCTCGTCGGTCATAGGACCAGAGTCGAGGGAACCTGCAGACGCGAAGGTGGTTTCGTTCCAAGGAAGCTGCCCTGAAAATGGCTCTCTGACGATCCTCCGAGTCGATCCCGAGCTGCCCGTGGGCCGCGTCCCGCCTCGTCGCGCCAAACAACACAGCAAGCAGGTTGATAGAGAAACTCCAAACGAGGTCCCAGTTTTCGTCCGCGCGATCTTCTGAACTGCCCGATCACAGTGGGATTCTCTACTGTCGTATGCCGGTAGCCAGCAGGCGATGGCACGCTGCGTCTCATTTTTTGCGGGCTCGTATTCCGGCGGGCAGACGGTCCAGGCTCGGCCGAGAAGGTGGTTAATTGCGACAATCACCAACGGGCTCGTCTGGTCTCCGCCCACCGGCAGTGAGGGTATCCACTCCGCTGGCCGGGGCCGTTGATGGCAGAGTGCGTTGTGTCGATGTCATTTGTGGACTTGCTGTGACGACAGACGGAACAGACCCTTCAAGGTCGCAAAGAAGGTTTGTGAAAGTGCCTGCATGAAGCACACAACTAGGTTCCACGTTTTTCCGGGGCGGGGAGGGCGCAGGGAGGACCAGAACTGCATGATATCCCGTCCGGACTTGCAGATTCGACGACGGAGCCATCGCGGGTGTGAGGGGGCGGAACGTTGTAGCTTGTGGTCGAGGTTGGTTGATGTGCAAGGCGCTGTCCAAGTTTCCTGTTTGAGAGGTCAACGGCCAGGTTCAACCCGTGGTCGGACAAGGACATGGCTTTCTCACGGCGCCGCCTGCATGACCTTCTCAACGGGGAAGGAGGCGTTTTCATGTGTCAATCAACGGCCTGCGGTGTAGGCGTGTGGATCTGGAGGGCCGGTCGTGATGGGAGGATTCGCGCGGCGAACCCTGGTGGTTGATGCAACTCAAGACGGCTGTACGTTGAGAGATTTTCACGTCTCTTGCATCCGGTCTCGATGCATTCGTCCCTGACGCATTCGGAAGGTTACCGGCGATGTGTCGACGAGGGAAGGGCGAGAAATTGTCTCAAGGAGGGAAGGTTGGGCAACGGTGGCCCAAGGAGGTCTGTCAAGATATTTAAAGTCGTGAGGGACCGCCGGCGTTGGATGACTCTCCCCGGACCACAGGAGCATTTACTCCCTCGAATCAGTGAGGATTTGTAATAGTCGACATCATCATTTGGAATTCATTTGGAATTTATCCCTGCCCCGTTGCTCTTTTGTTGCTATTTTAGTAGCCACGCAGCCAGCAGACATGCAGAACCAAGTGGCCAAAGACTCGGCATCAACTCCGGTTGGGCCGCCTCCCCTCTCCTTCACCCAAGGACCACGAATCACAGCAAACTATCCCACCGTCACCGCCGCCTTCTATCATCATGCAGAGACTCAGCCTGATGTCACTGCAGGCCGCGACCTGTCGGCACCCCAGATTCGAGAGATCACATACGGCGAGCTCGCTCGTCGAGCCAACCAGCTCTCCAGGAAACTGACCAAGCTTGGCGTCAGACCCGGAGATCGTGTCCCGCTTGTCGTAAAGCGAGGCATTGACATGTTGGTTGGCATTGTTGCGATCCTGTCTTGTGGAGCGCAGTATGTGCCCCTCGATGGGGGCGTGGTTCCCGACTCTACGCTCCGCTTCGTCCTCGAGCAGGCCGGAGGCAAGCACGTCCTCTGCCTCAACTCGACAAAACATCGCTTCGAGACCCTCGGGGTGCCTTGTGAGACCTTGGTGATTGATGAAGAGCGGGAGAAGGATCCCGAGCATGCGCAAATCCTGCCCTATCAGGACTTAGCTGAGACACACCACGGCTGCTATGTGATCTACACTTCAGGTACGCGATCTGGCCAGCTGCCAATTAGACACCATGGTACGATTACTGACGAATTGTCTTTACAGGAACTACGGGTACTCCGAAAGGGGTGGATGTCACCCACAAGAACGTGACTAACATGGTGTGCCTGTCGCCCGGGAATCTGGGTATCTCGGCCGGTACCAGAGTGGGCCAGGTACTGAATATCAGTTTCGACATGGGTAAGTTGCCAAAAAGAAAACCCCGTCTCACAAAAAACAACTTTGCTGATTAGTTTGAAAGCGGCGTGGGAGATGCTAGGTTGCCTCTGCAACGGCGGAACCCTGGTTCTTCGAGGCTCAAAATGGGAACCCTGCATCCGAGAGGTACGAAGAAAAACGCCACAGATTTCTCTCGCAAAGATCAGCGCAACTAACTCGAGCTTATCCCCAGATCCAAGTTCTGATCTGCACACCCAGCATCTTGGCCAAGTACGATCCCCGGGAATATTCCAACATCCGGGTTGCTGCGACCGCCGGCGAACCTAGTTCCCAGAGGTAAGTCAAACGCCACAAAATTCTACCTTGGTGAGAATTCGCTGATTTGGTTTTGCTCTAGACTTGCCGATCTTTGGGGAGCTCACGCAAAGTACTACAACTGCTGTGGTCC